CGGAGTTTCGCTCTTGTTACCCAGGCTGGAGTGCAATGGCGCGATCTCGGCTCACCGCAACCTCCGCCTCCTGGGTTCAGGCAATTCTCCTGCCTCAGCCTCCTGAGTAGCTGGGATTACAGGCACGTGCCACCATGCCCAGCTAATTTTTTGTAGTTTTAGTAGAGACGGGGTTTCACCGTGTTGACCAGGATGGTCTCGATCTCTTGACCTCGTGATCCACCCGCCTCGGCCTCCCAAAGTGCTGGGATTACAGGCATGAGCCACCGCGCCCGGCCCCTTAATATTTTTTCAAACATAAAGAAAAGGGCATAGGGGTTGCTGGTGATGACGTCTCTCTGTGGGTGCGAGGCCAGGATGGGCTTCTGGGAAATGTGTGAGGTTGAGGGGCTGACAGAACCTCTGATCTCCCCAAACTGAGCCCTGTCTCCCCTCCTCTGGTCCTGTCCTGACCGCTCTCTTCATCTGCCTGGGTGCCCGGAGCCCTGAACGTGGGCCTCCATGAGGGCCACCGAGGAGGGCTTGGAGGTGCCCTGTCTGCCATCCTGCACCCTGACCCCGCCCTCACACCCAGGCTTCGTCTTCTCTCTGCATCTGTCCATGCTTCCCTCCATCAGCAGCAGGAGGTTCCTCAGTTGTGGCTCTAGGATCATCAGACATGGGACAGGTATGGGGTTTCCTCACCTGTGACAGAAACGGACAGTGGGTCACTCGGGGCTGACCACCTGTAGGGAGAGTTAGGGAAAGAGCCGAAGCATCTGTAGGTCCCTCCGTGGGTGGCAGGGCCCAGAGAGAAGTGGCCCTGGAATGTTCCGTTGACGCTGGGCACTGCAGGGAGCCTGAGTTCAGGGGTCTCCCCATCCCTGGATAGATGGTACATGTCAAAGGAGCTCCGGGAGCTGCAGGACAAGGTCACGTTCTCTCCTGGCTGAACCGTGGGGCCCGGCTGGGCTGAGAGAGAAGGTTTCCCGTATACACCTGGAAGGAGAAGAGGCAGTTTACTCAGGAGGCTCCTCCTTGTCA